AGGACACTGGAGGCAAAGCCCAGCAGGACAGGGATGAGCAAAGTCCTCCAGACAGTACTAGAGGTCCTGGGTCCAGGTGTGCCAAGGCCAGGCCTGTCCCTGGCCTTTCCATTTGCACAGCCAGGAAATCCCGTTTTGCAAGAGTCAGCTTGAGATGGATTTCTACTCAGGAGAATCCTAGTGAACCAAAATATGCAGTAAATGCTAGAAGTTATTTATTCACTTAATTCACTTTTGGTACTGAGGATTGAACACAGGGCCTTTGCACTGAGCTACATCCCCAGCCCTCTATCTATCTATCTATCTATCTATCTATCTATCTATCTATCTATCTTTATTCATTTATTTTTTGGAGACAAGGTCTCACTAACTCACTAAATTTTCAGAATGGGCTTGAACTCCAGCCTCAGCTTCCCAGCAGGCTGAGATTATGACTGTGCTACCATGCCTGGCCTAGAAGATGATTCTTTCCTAGAAAACTTTTAAAGCATTTCCAGCTCATTGTTGCAAACAGCAGGGAGTGGACACAGCACAATTCCCCCTTCAGAGATGAGGATACTGCAGTGGCCAGATGTCACACGGTGCCCTCTCCTGCCGCCGCACTTAGGTGAGGAGGCAGCGGCCTTTGCTCAGCCGCTGAAACACTGATGCATTCCCCCCTCTTTCCTGTTTCTGGCACATGTGGATGCTGCAGCTGAGCTAACCCCAGCCTCACCCTGCCCAGGACAGTGTCCAGTCTATGGCTGCCTCAGTTTCCCCACTGACCCCTCTGGTGCCCCATGCGCCTGGGGCAGACAGAGCACGTAGAGAACCAGACAGATACAGGATGCCACTCACTGGCCTGCACCCCTCTCAGCACCCAGCTGGTGGTGGTCGGTGGACAGTGCGGGTCCTGCCCGACCCCAGGGACAGTCTCTTTCCACATCAACTTTACAGGAGTCGCCAATCCCCCTCCCCACAATCTGCTTTCTGTGTACCTTGAGCCCCTCTCCCTCACTTGGGCAGGTTGTGGGATTCATACAAAATTAACCAGAGGTTCCGTTTCACAGCACTCTGCAGGATCCAGTTCCCACCTGCTGCTGCAGTCGTCTTTGTCCCCCTTGGGCTCCCCACAACACTGCTGCGGCACTGGGCGGTCCACAGAGGCCTGTCTGAGTCACAGACCAAAATGTGGGTGTCAGGAAGTGAAAGAGGAATGGCCAGAAAGCTCACAGAAGTACCATGCTGGGTTCGGGGCACAGAGCCAACTGTCCCATGGGTGACACTCGGTGTCTTGTGTCCCGTCCCCAGGCCCGTGGCTTACACACAGTGCAGGGAGGGCACCAGTACACCCTCTGTTCCTTCGTTCCTCAGATACTGCTTAAGCCCCTGGGCACGGCCCTAGGGGTGGGGACACTGCAATGAATGATATGCAGCTCCTGATGCCAGGCCACACAGATGCCCCTGCTCTGGACACCTACCTTTCTACTTCCCCTGACAGCTGCTAACTCTTCACTGCCTCTCTTGAAGGGACTGGCTCATGTAGGCTGTTTCTAAAAGAAATACTCAGGTGTGGTAAGAGCAAAGACAGGAAACATTACTGTAAGCCTGGCACTGTGACATACTGAAGGTAACCCTTATGATACTTCTGCAAAGTGGTACTGTTATGATTCCCATTTCACAGAGGAGTCAGCTGAGGCCCAGAGAGACTGGATTTAATTCTCCCCATGTTCCTTGAAGAGAAGGCCACTCAAGATTGAAATGAGAGCTGGGCATGGTGGCGCACACCTGTAACCCCACCACTTGGGAGGCTGAGGCAGGAGGAGTGCCCCAAGTTCAATACCAGCCTAGACTACATAAGGAGTTCAAGGCCAGCCTGAACTACATAGCAAAACCCTATCTCACAA